GGCAATAATTATCATGTCAGAAAGAATAATAAGAAGAAAAACAACTAGCTAAAGTAAACTCTCAGTCAGTCAAATAGATTTTTGTGAGAAAATAACAACCAATTTTTAAAAGAAGAAAAACATTAAGAGTTGTTTCCAAAACACGACCGCATTGTTTACATAGGACTTTTTTTGCTCCATTCAATAATATGTTAATAACAAAATAACGGCTGGGAAACTTACCTCAAATGTGAACAATTTATTACATTTGTTTTAAAATTCGTAGGCTATTAAATAAATCTTAAAATTAAGGTTAATTTTTTGAAATTAGAAAATCGGTTCCTTCATGATTCATAATTAGGTTCCAAATATCACCCAATTTTCCCCAATTAGTCATGGAAAAATAACATTAAAAATCAAAGCGCACCTGACATCACAAATCTTTATATTGCAGAACTGTGACAGACAAGTGGCTTTCAACAAAACTTCAGTTAAATTACCTGTGCTCAATAATAAATCTATAAAAGGGCAAACATTTTAATTGAATAGATGGAACGTCAATTTGATTGCTTCACTGTAGCATATTAAACTCACAAAATAATGAATAAAACTTACAGTAGTAGTTATAGTTTTCATAACTTTCATTATACTGTGTCCTCTTTTCTTTAGAGAAAGATTGCATATATTTCGTGAGATATTCACCCATTCTTGCTTTCGGTCGAACCATACAAAAGTAATTATGCATTCTGAATCACTTTTTTTCCTGCTGGATGGCAAGTTACACTGAAAACGAATCGTACTCTCATGCGTTGAGAGTGACCTACGCTTTTAGAAATTTCTCCATACCAATGAGTAAAAGTGACTCACATCTGAGTAAAAGTTACTTACTCTCTAAATTAGTTTCGTTGTAACGAACACCCCTTTACAGCACTCGGCAGTCAATCGATGACTGCAGCCAATTTTTTTTTTTGGCTTTAAGTGCTGTTTATTTCTTGTATTTGTGTGGTTTACATGTATTATTATTATTTTTTATTAATTTGATTGAAATTGGAAAGAAGGAGGATACTTATAACTACTATCTACAACTAACCTACAACTAATATACAAAAATTGCTTATCAAAGCATTTTCTGATGTGTTACATTTCTGCCCAAATCTAATCTTTATGTCAGCAATTTTAAAATCTAATTTTGGAACGTTCGTCTCTATGTGGAGATCGGAAATTCTTGTACCGAAGGAACGATCAAGGATCATCCTCAGCACTCTATTCTGAGCGACCTGTATTTTGTTCCTATGAGTCTGTGCACATAATTCCCACGCCGAAGTTGCGCAGGTGCTATGATTTGTTTGTAGACAGTCAGTTTGTGCAACTTTGAGAGGCGCGATCTGCGGAAAATCAGCAAATACAGACACTAAACCAAGTTGGAACACTTAACTACGGTTTTCTCTATATGTGAGTGAAAAGGAGCTTTTCATCGAACAACATCCCGAGATGAGTTACTTCTGTGGACCACTCCACCTTTTTTTCATCCATAATTACAGTACAAGATGGAGCCGGTTTTAGTTTGGGGGATTTCCGATGGAGGAACATAATTGTTTAAGTTTTGGAGGCATTGATTTTGAATGCTTACGTGTTGGCATATTCAGCAAAGGCGTCAAGGCATCGTTGAAGTTTGTGCGTTATTTCGCAAGGCATCCTTCCTTTGACGGCTATTGCGGTATCATCTGCGAATAGTCAAACGCTTTCTTAGCGTCTATCAATGCCATGGCTGTGGACTTGGATACAGCCTTGTTACTTCGGATGTTATTCATCACCCGTACTATATGATCATTGGTGGAGTGCCCCTTCCTGAACCCTAACTGTTCCGGTAGGAGAATGATCTGTTCCTCGATAAAGTTGAGAAAACGATTGAGAATCAGTTTCTCGTACAATTTGCTCAGCGCTGAAAAGAGACTGATCTGTCTGTAGCTTGAGGGCAATGTTGGATCCTTACCGGGTTCACGGATTGTTATGATTTTTGCTACTTTCCAGATGCTTGGAAAATAGTGCAGCTAGTACATCTGTTGAAGATAGCGGCCAAAAGTGAGTACAGTTTCATGCTGAGGCTCTTTAAGATTAAATTGAATATGCCGGGAGCCTTCATATTCTTGGTGATTTTCAGCGCTGAGCAAAGCTGTTCTACCGTAATTTTATCCTCCAGTGGCACGACACAAGGAGAGACATGTAAATTATGGATGCATTGCGCAACCTGATCTTCGAGCGGACTTTGAATATTTGTGCCAAGCAAATTCGATGAAGCAATATGATCACCTAATAAAATTCCACACATTTTATTGACTAGTTTCCATGGTAAATTTGACATGATTTTCATGTGACCACACATAAACAGAATCCACCCAGAAGCACACATGAAATGTATGAGAAATGTATGAGTCAAATGAATAGTATGTGTGTTCAAAGTGTTTTTTTTTATGTTACTTCATACGCGAAAGTTAGCGATTTTCAGAGTTGGTTGGAAATGCTAACATGAAGCTTTAGTGTGATAGTTTATTAGCTAGAGAATGATCTTTAGAAGAGGGTAGGGTGGATAGTTCCGTTAGAGTACGGCAGTATGAAAATTGAATAGAAGTTGAAAATGAGCGAAGGGCCATTAATGCGACAGTTTTTGAGTAGATTCCAAGTAATCAAAATGAAAATGAAATCTCGTCCTGGCGATTCGCGCAACGGGATCACTTATGATTTTTATTTAGCTCACTTCAAGTCTAGTGAACTACACAACCTTAAGGCATTAGAAAAAGCTAGCCTTATGCTCCATGTCCGAGAAAAATGGGAACACTTTAGGAAGACTGGCGGAAATTTTCAAAACCTCACCCAGTGCCGTAAGCGCCAGGGATGGGGTCACGGAACAAAAAATTGCTACATGCAAGCTAAATGCATAAATTGTGGTGATTCCTCTCACGCAAATGACGACTGTCCTGTGAAGAAAGATCCTAAGAAATTAAAATGTTCAAATTGTGGTGAAAACCTCAAATCTAATTTTTGGAAACGTAAGACTCGCAAAGCGATCCTACAATCTCATTCTAAACGCCACGTTCCTGGCTAGGTACAAATTCCTCTGCTGTTAACAACGATCAGCGAGGAATAAATTCTACATTCGTACTCGTAGGTACAAATATCACCCCTGCTTCAAATTCTTCATCTATACCTTCATCTGCATCTATACTGCTAACAATGTTCAGCGAGTAAATGGAGCTACCTATGCTGCTATTGCAGCGGATAGAAATCAAAATACTAGCCAACACGATTCTAATGGAAATTTTAATAATTTTGACTTACTAGGCATTACTGCTCCTAAAATGGATTTTTTTTTACAGAAATCATTAATTGACGTGATTACTGATATGAAAACACTAACTCCATGTTTGATGCGATTCAACTTGGAGTAGAATTGTGAACAATATCGTCATGACTTTGAAATTCAGTAATGGATTATAAATCATTAAATATTTTGAATTGGAATGCTCGATCTCTTAAAGATAATGAAGACGAGCTATTTAATTTTTTGAGAGTTCATAACGTGCATATTGCCGTTATAAATGAAACGTTCCTTGAACCAAACCATAAGGTTAAAAGGGACGCAAATTATTACGCAAAATTTATAGAAATGATCTTTTTGATGGACACTGTGGCCATCATTGTTCATAGACGAATAGTTACTATAGTAGCTGGAGCACCTCGGTTAAAATGAAATGTAATTTATTTTAAATTTGGAACAATAAGAGTTAAAAAAGAAAAAAAAATCATTCCACGTCGATGCTTCGCTTGCGGAGGAAGTCGACAAACTCAATATGTTTTGCTCTTACAGAGCAAGCATTCCAGGTGACGATAGTTAGCGGTTAAGACGCCATACTAATTGATGAACTTACAATTTTTGCGGCAATTACGAAGAGCACCGGTCATATTGACGAAGGTTTCCATCAGTGCACCCGCTGAGAACAGATCGAGGTTGTTGTTGTTGTTTTAGATCTTTGTCCAGCAGAATAACCGGAAGTTTCTTGAGCAAAATGCACCCGTGAATTTCGCTTGCAGTGATTTTAGGTTGCCATTTCCGCTATGTACACTATTTATGGTACCGCATGCTACGAATTGTTGCATATTTCCGAGCAATAATGTAGAGATAACTTCAACATCTAACATCTACACATCATGGGAATATCTACACATAAATGGTGCATTAGGGTGCTTCAATTTGAAATAAAAAAGTTTTGGATTTCTTATAGGCCACCCCTAAGCCTTTAAAAATCTCTACCATTTTTTGCAGAGACTCATATATTGGGGTTATGAATCAGAGTAGACGGTGACCTATGAGAATTAAAAAACTTTTTTTTCAAAATGAAGCACCCTAATGTGCATTTTAAGCGTCACCCATTCCATCCCGCCTATTCACGATCACTTGAATAACTTATCATATTCACTAAAACATGTGTATGTACAGGAGACATTAATGCAATCTAATTGCTTTGCTGGAAATTTCCCATTTCCTACGACTGACGACTTCGGCTCACTATCTCCTATAGAAGGTTATACACACATACCATACACAACCCAACACACAATTTCGTTCCATTCAGAGTGACCGATAATGGCATGGGAAAGTGCAGGGCAATTTGTGTCAAATGTCGATAAAACGTTATTACTGGTTCGTATAATAGCCCAACCACACTGGGATGTGATGGAATTCCTAAAATAGAATAATATCAATGATGATGGCACATGTCGGTGCTGTGGTACATACTTTAATTGCGTGTAGAAAATGAAAGCAGCGTTGTGATAACATTAACAGCTATTCAACCTTTATTTGACATATCTTATTTCTCCTTCCCGTTTATGGAAGTGGTCATCAAACAGCATCACATTTCCACTGCCATCCGGTGACCATACATCAGAACTGAAAAGAAAACATTTTCACTCAATTTAATTTCCCCTTTGACAAAAATTTACCCTTTCCTCTTCTCTTGCAGAGTATTCAAGAAGACCTCATCGAACCAGCTTCTGACTCTGTACCTGGGTAGCCGGGAGCTGGTAGCGCGCAAGGGAGTTATCGAACCGCTGAGGGGTGTTATCTACATCGATCCGAAAATCATCAACGACACCAAAATCTACGGCCAGCTAACGTTGACTTTCCGGTAGGTAATTTATTGGATTTTCTTCTCTTTTTGCCGATAACGGATGCGGATGGTTTGAAATGGAAACCATTTCGTTAATGGTTTTATCTTTTTTCACGTTGAGTGGTGCGAACTGATAGGGTTTTTGATCTAATTTCCGTCCTACTAAGCACAACCCGCGCTTTACCTCTCTTTTTTGAACGGGTTTGATTAATATTTCTATATGACTTCTAAATTTATTCACCTTTCCATTCGTACCGTTGGATTTGATAAATAGTCACAAATTGTTGAGATATCGTTTAAAATCTAATACTGCTTCTTGATTCTAAATTCGTCCTACGAGTTTCAATTCCGACCTAACGCATTGAAACGCCATTAGATTTTCTTCGTCCGGAGAACGGAGGAAAAGGGGATTTGCTAGGAACGCTTCTTTTGTTTTGAGAACAATGAGCGTACATATTCATACGATGGGCTCTAATAGGATTATTGTTGTAGCTAATGAACTACGACATCGGTATAAACCCATTGTTGATTTGTGCACGGTAAAATCATTGATATTATTGATCATTTCTGATCGATAGAACGGAAATGGGCGATTACGACGAAGTAGCGCTCTACCCTAATCCTTTGAAAAGTGAAGTTGGATAATTTTCCTTGATTGAGATTCCTCTTGGGAGCACTGATTTTGTTTCGTCTAATTGTAATCCATTATTTACAATATTCTAATCAGTCTCTTTTAAACAGAAATGGACATCGAGCATTGTGTTTCAGCAATGCGGGAATATAGGGTAGAGCGCTACTTCGTCGTAATCGCCCATTTCCGTTCTATCGATCAGAAAAGATCAATAATATCAATGATTTCACCATGCACAAATCAATAATAGGTTTATTCAGATACGTTAGTTCATTAGCTACAACATAAATCCTATTAGAGCGCATTGTATGAATATTTATGCTCATTGTTCTCAAAACAAAAGACGCGCTTCAAGAGAATCCTCTTTTTCTACGTTTATCCGTAGGACGAAGAAAATCTAATGGCGTTTCAATGCGTTAGGACGGAATTGAAACTCGTAGAACGAATTTAGAATCAAGAAGCAGCCTATTAGATTTTAAACAATATCTCAACGATTTGTGACTCTTCATCAAATCCAACGGTACGTATGGAAAGGTGAATAAATTTAGAAGTCATCTTTGACAGAAATTTTCCATTTTTTGTTTAAGCTCGTTCAAAAAAAGAGAGGTAAAGCGCGGCTTATAATTAGTAGGACGGAAATTAGATCAAAAACCCTACTTGTAACAATAGAAATCGTGAAAAAGGGAAACAAAATACTGAAATGTGAAAGGGCGAGAGCTTATTACGATGAATACGAACGGCTGTTTTTTTTTCGGGGCAGTAAGCTTCACGTTGGGGAAACTTGCGCCCCAAAAGAAAATTTATCAAAAAATATTTTTAAAAGATATCAAACATATAAAAACAAAAGTTTTTGTTGATGCGTGTAAATAGTTTTTTATGCAACTAGTTGCAAAAATATGATATTTTTTTTCAGCTCGAGTTGTATTGGTTGATAGTCGTAGAATTTTGCAACGAGTTATTATTAATTTCTTTATTTGTACAGGCTCAATCGAATAAACTTTACAGAGCCGAGTTATCATTTTTGTTATACATTATTGATTTCTTATATTAAAAGTTAAAGGAGCTGGACCGGATACTCGCGGTTGTCTCGAGGTTAGTGGGGATTTACAATTTTTTTTGGATGGGAAAAGGGAGAGAGGTTTGAAATGTGGTTTACGATACAAATATTTAATTAATCCTAAAACATGAACTAATTTCTATTCATCTTGAAAACAAACATAAAAAAAAACCCACACGTACAAAATACAAACTAAACACATGGTTAATAAAACTTACAATCTAATGTTAATATTCTTAAAGTAAACATATATGAGTTTCTTAAACTCCAGATCGCGTCTAGCCAAAATATCCCGAACTGGAACATTAGGTTGTCTACCTCGAGCCCGAAGGGAATCGTACAGTTCAGATCTGACTCCGCGATGCTCAGCACAAGACCAAATAACTGCAACGAGTTGCATACAACATTTTTTGCACTCAAAAAAGATTGTAGGCTCCCATATAGAGCTATGTACTGCGCTCCGTAAGCTGCCTTAGAGATACCCACTTCGTCTTCCAAGCTACGAGTATCGCTGCAAATTGATCAATGTCGAGCCATCCGAAGAGATGTTTTCAGAGCCTTAACCGTCGCCGATACTCTGCAAGGAAGAATCGACTGCGAAGCAATTCTGCAACAAGTGAACATTAATGTTCAACCTCGATCACTACGCAACAGTCTTATGCTACACCGTTCGAAAAATTCACTTAAATTTCTGCGAGATATAGCGCACATAAAATTAACGCTAGATTTGCCATAAATTTACGCGATATTTCGTGTAAATTTAAGCGCAATATCGCATAAATTAGCAATAGTGTATGCAAGTTTGTAAACGATTTCGCTGTTTATGCCAAGTATAGCCCAAAATTAAACAAAGGGAGATTTTACGCGATAGTTAAAATTCAGAATTCACAACTCTGAGTTGAACTAGCCTACGTCTAAAAATCTCATAAATAAAAAAATGAAAAAAAAAAATATTCCTACTCAAATCTAATTTATCACTCTTAGAGTTGACTCCATCTTTATGAAATGAGCAGTTCTTTGACAGACAATTGCTTTGCAAAATAAATATCTGAAAATGCTCCAAAGTCATTTTTTACCCTTGGAGATGATTCTTTCTTTATAACATGAGCAGTTATTTGGCAGATAAAAACTATTGCACAATCCAACTTAAACTCGTAATTTTTTCACTCTTGGAAATTACTTCTTCTTGAACAGTTCTTATAGGGGTAATTCCAGCTCAAGTGGGTAATCACGTGAATTTTACGTTATTCACGCACGGGCACACGATTGATCAAACACTGATCCTTTAACACTAACGTGATAAACATCGATTTCGGATCACAAGCAATAAATTCGAAATTTTCGTGAAGTTTCGTTCTTTTCAATTTATTACTACCGACGGATGGTTAAAAATCGAGGGATATGAAAAACAACACGATAGTCGATTTGGTTGTGCACACAGGGATATCTATTTGCTTCTACTTTACAATAAAAACACTTTTCTGCTGTGTGGCCAAGTGAAATTGAGTGACCACTGGATTGAGCAATCTCTCTCGCGTGAGAATTGGCGATCCTCATTAGGGTGGATCTATGTTTGTTCGCATTGAATTGATTTAGAATTAATTTCACTGGTTTATGGATTTAGATTTTGGTTTAAACTATAGACTAGGATTAGATATATACAGTATTTACACATATACATGACAAATAAATTGATCCGAATAATTGTATGTCCCTAAAACCCTTAATAATTGTTCTGATTCTAATTTTCGTTCAGTTGAATTTTTGTACTTACAACTTTTTTTTTGTCTAGGGTGTTCGACTTTGCAATGATCCGATATTTTATCCTTTCTATTTGTCCTTTAGACCTTTTGTCCCTTCGACCATTTGTCATTCTGATTTTTTTTATTCAACCATTTGTCTTTTCGAACTTTTGTCCTTCGACCTTTTGTCTTCCGACCTTTTATCCTGCGACGTTTTGGCATAGATTTTCATATAGTAATGATCTTTAATTTAACAAAAATCTTTTATCAATGCATTACTCCAGAATCCCAATCTGTGGACGAGTTTAAATCTCATTCCCGGACAAGTCACGGCAAAAGAAAACCCCCCGTCGGTACAGGAAATCTGAACAAAATCGTGGTCTTATTCGTTTCGTATACATCTGCTGCATCTTTGATGTTTATTCATAACACACTTGGGCCTACATATCTTCTGCAGACTTTACTCTGAAGAAGCATCTACAAAAGTTTAAGTTTGCTATTTTTCATTCATACGACCACCCTCGTCAAGCACAGTTTAGCAAGTTTAGTACGATGCCGGTGAGTGGCATAAATTTACCACCCTTGCTTCAATACATTGCACCACTCGAATGCGAATTTCAGCCAGTGAGAGCAAAAACCACATTTTAGCTTCAAAACTCCACAATACAAGAAACCTTACGTCAGTCCGGCTACCTCTCGTGATGTGATAGTACTTGAGTAGCTCTTGCCACGGAACGTAAAAGTTAAACGATTATGGTGCTGCTGGTAGCTGATAGCAGTACCTACATCAGCTTCCGACGGTTGTGGCTAATGGTAAACATTCCCGCTATATGTTAATGCACTTATGATTCAGGATAAGCTCTCATCTCTAATTGTCCGGGAATTTTCAAACAATTTGAGATGCGCTACCATGCTGTAACGTTATAAAAGCAGCAATGCAATGAACGCACAGATAAGTACTGTCGTCCCGGGCAGTAACGCATACATAACAGGTACCAAGTTTGATGTTGACGAATTATTAGTCAGTAGAGGAGCGACTACGTAGTATGCCATGCTGAAAGAATTTTTTGGATAGGAGATTTATACGAATCCTCTTGGCAATTCGCTCGTATGGTGTATTCCGATTATGGACTATGGAATTCCCATATGCCATAATTGGAACACACCATAATAGGAACATGTAACCGTGTGGTATATTACATCTACCCTATGGGAAGCAAATTTTTAAATAGGTGATGCGAAAATTCTACTTTTATTCATTCCTGGCTAACTTCTGCTCGGGCTCTGTACAGACAAATAGCGGACATTTTTTTATCAACCCTTATCGTGCATCCGAGCAATTTCCACTAAAACAGAAAGTTGTGGGTTGCCGCATTGAACAGTTTTCAAACGGTGCCATTTTACTCAATATAACTTTAGACTGGCCGGGATGAACGCAACGCACGATATTTGCCCGTCACTTCCACAGATTCATTCGACCATCCTACAGTTGACGATTTTATCCGGCGGAAGACTAGTGATGCTACCTATTAAAACTCGACTACACCATCTCTTTCTATTTACAGCTATGGGCGCGAGGACGAAGAGGTAATGGGTCTAAAGTTTTGTAATGAAGCCGTCATCGCCTTACAACAAATATGGCCAAAGCCCATCGGCGGAGAACCAGAAGTGCTAACACCGTTGCAGGTAAGTGTATCAATCGATATTGAAAGCAATTGGCGTTTAAAAATTGGCCTCACGTGGCCATTTTGAAAAATGGCTTGATGATGCAGATTTTAACATTTTGCACGGTGTGAGGTATGGGATTGAAATGTTTTAAATACTTCTATTTCTCAAATAAAGTTTTTTTTTGCGCTCAGTGCTAAAAGTGTCACTTTTTGCCACTGTGTTGAATTACATAATAACCTACTTTTTCTATCTATCGAAGACGAGCCAGCCAACGGCTGAAAGTCTCCTTAATAAAGATATGAAAAAAAAAAAAATTCTATCTAAAATAACAGTTTCGAAGAGTACTACTTTCCAGCAGCCAGTGCTGAAAAGTTTTACTTTTCGACACTCTTTTGAGTGCCAAATGGCTATTTGGCAGATTTTTTCAGCACGAATCGTTGGATAATTACGACAAGTTCTGAAAAAAATAGAATTTTGTTACGAATTGCATACAACATTTTGTGCACTCAAAAGAGTGTCCAAAAGTAAAACTTTGCGGCACATGGTGCTGGAAAGTAGTACTTTTCGACACTGTTACTTTAGTTAGGAAAAAAAGGTCATTATGGTATGCAAAGCAGTGTTTAAAAGTAACATTTTTCAGCTCTGAGCGCCAAAAAATGTTGCAAAATTCGACTCGTCGTACTTATCCAAATCTGAGCACCAATGCTACCCACGCCAGGGAGGCAGCTCCCACACCTGGACCCTACCTATCGACCCATAAACTCATGAACCGGGGACCAACGGCTTTACTCCCCTTCCGAAGGAAGGCGTGATCCTAGATATTTTGCCTCAGAACATCCCGTGGAGGCGAACCAGCCTCAGGCTGAAAGGCTCCTTAATAAAGATAAATCAATCAATCAATCAGAACATCCCGGCGGCACCGATTGGCATTGAACCCAGGCCTGCAGAAGTGAGAGGCAATCACACTTACCACTTCACCACCGGCTCCGCTTGTTAAATATTTTAACGTCTAGCAAGGTCATGGCTGTGGGCTTGGATGCAGCCTTGTTACTTCGGATGTAATTTATCACCCGTACGTACTTGCTGATGATTTGTGGAGTGCCCCTTCATGAACCAGAACTGTTTCGGTAGGAGAATGTTGTGTTCCTCGACAAACTTGAACAAACGATTGAGAATAAGTTTCCCGAACAATTTGCTCAGCGCTGAAAGGAGGCTGATCGGTCTGTAGCTTGAAGCGAATGTTGGGTCCTTCCCAGCATGCTTGGCATGCACAGTTCTACACACCAACTGCTCATTTGTTAATAACTTTTCATTCACTTGTTGAAATTTAGTTTTCTTTAAAGTAATTGATAGATTAGGATCATAGTTAAATCTCCTCAATAGAGAAAAAAGGATCATAGTTTACTGTAGACATGCAAAGAGTAGGTAAATCTTATCATTTGAATCAACACCAATGAATTTGTACACTTAAAGTCCGAGATGTGCAGCGAGCATTTCTCACTTCATTTTTGCAACGCAAAATCAAATACAGTTTATTACTAGAATTAAATCTACTTTTTTTACGTATCTATAAGAAGCTTAAACTCTATTCTATCGATTGCTTCAAACAGAACTATGATTCTTCAACTCTGTGCAAAGTTATTAGCAGAATAATCCAGAATGGTCTGGAGCGGTCGTCCAGATTCTGGACGAGTAGCTCGAAATTTTCGTTAAGAAGTGAGACCATTCTGGGAGTAATCTCCTTGTTCAGATCGGTCATTTCACATTTCCTCGCTAGATATCTGGTTCTTTGGAACTGGTGTCTGCGAATATTTCTCAGGCGAATCAAGAGGAATCAATGGCAATAAACTTACCCCTCACTCGTCGGACGCACGCCTCGTCAGCCACGGTAATGGCTTGGTGCAGTCCCTCCAACGCTCGGTCGATGTCGTTCACGGTGTCAACCGGCGGGTTGTCGATGATGTGCCTGTCTACCACGCGTCCAAACTGGGCCCAGTTTACACGGTTGTAGTCCTTGCACAAGCTTGGAGCAGGGGCCACGTTGCAGCCCAGTTCAGTCACCACCGCTTGGTGGTCGGACCTGAGTTCGTTCAAGGCTCAGGAACAGGAGAACGTTTGTCAGGAACAGGTCTAGGGTCGATGGGTTGTCCGCCGGTGAGATGAATGTTGGCTCGTCCGAAAACCAAACGCAGTACAGCCCATGCTGTGAGCAGTTGAACAGCAAATGACCGTTCTGGTTCTGCTGGTAGTACCGCTAGGCCTCATGGCGAGCATTCAGATCTCCTCCAACAACGAAGCGGGAACCGGTACGGGTGATGGTGGACAGGTCTTTCTTGAATTTAGCCGCTAGTCCACTACTGGTGACACACTGTCGAGGGCAGTAGACAGCGATGAACTGGACGTATCCAGTCGACAAATCCACCTCCAGAGGTGCGGCTATGGGACAGAGTGTGGTATTTTATCCCTTTCTTGACGACGACCGCAACATCCGCAATCAAGCCGGATAATGGTGTGGGGGATGGGTTGCACCTGTGAATTTGCTTGCCTTTGCTGGGAGCACTAAGAGGCGGGAAATCCTTCGTCCTGAATGCTGGGGTTTTCTCCTTCTTGCGTCCTGGTTGATTGTTGCTTGCCACCTGCTTTAGAATACGTTTGAAGTCCTCGCGTTTGGAGCACTGTCTGTCGTTTCCTTGCTGCGTATCACCACAGTTGGCGCATTTTCACGCCACGGCTCCATTCGCAGGGCAGTCAGAAGTGGCGTGTTCTTGAGCACAGTTGCTGCAGCGTGGCTTGATGTTACAGTTGCGGGTGCCGTGTCCAAAATATAGGCACCGCTGACACTGCATTACGTCACGATGGCCTCCACGGTATAGCTCCCACCGTACGATGATGGAGTAGATCGAGCGAATGGTTTTCAGCGCATTGAGCGTCACCGTCCCTTTCTGGAAGTGCACCAGTAAATGGCAATCCGGGTACGTCTTCATATTTTCGTCTCTCCTCGTCATCCGGAAGACAGTAAGTGGGGCCAGATTGTACCCGTCATTGATTTCAGCTTTGTCCATCTTGGGGTCAAAGTGCTGCAGGCCCCTGAGGGTTTTGTATAAATGATTTCCGCGTTTCGTACTAATTGAACCGTCTCTATCGACCCCATCGCTGGTTCTCAAGGTGATCACGTCCTGATTAACCTCTAGGGGGCTGTTCATTAACTACGTTGTCAGTTTTCTATTTTTGGGATTCTTTGGGATTTTTTTTTCCTTTGGTTTGTTTCTTCCGTCGATCTTGTTTTCCGTGCTGAGCACCAATGCTACCGACGTGCCAGGAAGGCAGCTCCCACACCTGGACCCTACCTATCGACCCATCAACTCATGAACCGGGGACCAACGGCTTTACTTCCCATCCGAAGGAAGGCGTGATCAGAGATGTTATGTCTCAGAACATCCCGGCGGCGCCGACTGGTATTGAACCCAGGCCTGCTGGGGTGAGAGGTAATCACGCTTACCACTACACCACCGGCGCCGTTTTATTTTTTGGGATTGATCAAGATCAAAATAATTTCTATCATTATTTCATTTTTAATCACTTTTTTCAAGCATTTCAAATTGCAAAAACCCAACAAACATTGGAAGCAGAACAAGAGCTTTTCTGTCAAAATTTAGTTCGCCAGCTAAAAAATGGCTTATTCCGTCTTTAATCAGCTCAAATTGCATGTTGGAAAGCTGTCGGCATCTAATGTGAAATCACAACAGCAATGCAATGAAGACTGCTTCTAGTGAAACTCTACCTTACCAGCGAAAAATAATGATCAATATATTTTGAAACCTAGCAACGCGCATGGGGCTCAAAAAATGCTAAAATTTTAAATTCATTCGAGAAAAGTGAAAACATGGCTCAGCAGTAATTGAGAGAAAAGGCGTTTTTGTTTTTTTATATTTCTGACTTGAATCAGTAATGAAATTGAGTTGTTTGTAAAATGTTAAAAACAGCAGAAAAAAAGGTTATCTTCCATTTAATTTAACTTAATTATTGTTTGTATCCATGAGCTGCCAAATACCCAAAGGCTTGGGCATTTTTCTTATTAAGTTATTTACTTTACATAATTATTGGGTTATTATTAGATAGGTTCCGATTCTAAACGTTGTAATTTCATATTTTAACTGTGATCTTGACATGTTTTGGAGATGAGTACTTAAGGGGGTTAGATTTTGATAAGTCTTTAGTGTGATCGACACTGATGAAGACAGCACAATTCGTATCAGTCATGGATACAAAAATGAATTAAGTTGAGTTAAATGAAAGACATCTTCTTCTTCTTATTCGCATTTCAAGCTTATTGCTTAGCGCATATTAGCTTATTGCGTGCTCTCAACTTAGTGTTCTAAATGCACTTCCACAGTTATTAATTGAGAGCTTTCGATGCCAATACCAATGCATGAATTTGTATATTGTGTGGCAAGCACAATGATACTCTATGCCCAGGGAAGTCGAGAAAATTTCCAACCCGAAAGATTCCCTCGACCGGACCGGGAATCGAACCCGCCGCCTCCGGCTTGGTAATACCGTGCCTTTACTGACTAGGCTATGAGGCCCCACGAAAGACAACCCAACATAATGAACATCGTACAGTGTCGTTAATTTGGGATGGTATTAACCGCTAAAGGAGACTTCACAGAATGGGAAGCTTTCTGAATAAAAGCTCTCGGTGGAAATTAGTCTATGGATGTAATATATTTTAATGAGGCACTTTTGAAATAAATCTTTTTAAACTTTGATAGCAGCCATACACCCTTCTGGGTATTACACCGAAGTTGTTCATGTTCTAGGAGTAATCAACCTAGGAATGAGATTATCTAACTTTTCGAGTTCAAGAGACATGAAAACTTTTCGATTTTTAAAATCAGAAATACGCCATAAATCTAAAATAAAAAGATCTTATCAGATAATCCAAAAGCTGAGAAGCGAGTTTCAGCGAGTACACAAATTGTTAATCTTTAATTTAAAACATTGATCATTTTACGCACCCCATAGCTTAAATTAATTTAAACTAGTAACGTCATTCTGGCCACAATACAAAAGATGGGCTACTCAATACAGAACGAATGATCCGATACGTAAATTTGACCCATCGATGGGCGTCCTAAAAATACTTTGTGATTTCTCATTATACAAATAAACTGACTGATTCTGATTCAATATTATTTCATTACTAAAAGTCCCCGCGACACATCGGTATGCGTCCCATTAGTTCTTGCTCTATGCGGAACACGGATTACGAAATTTAATTAATTACCAGCCACCATCAATTTATTACTCTCCGTTATACCTTATCCTTCATCAAAAAAGCAACGACAATCCGCGGGCACAGTTGCTGCATTAATTTCCCTTTTCCCTTCCGATTCCCACCGTCTGCTGTTCTCTGGGATTTTTCATCACAGTCAGCCACCATCTAAGCGGATACTATATTAAAATTCTGAAACACTTTCTTCCTTCCATTCACTCGGCAGGAAGCTTTACTGGATAGACTGGGAAAAAATGCAGTTCCTTTTTCGCTGGAAATTGGCACGCTGGCTCCTCCGAGCGTGCAGCTACTACCAGCGAAGCGATATACCGGTGCACCCATCGGGACCAGCTACGATGTACGAGTTTACACTGGTAAGTGCATCCATCCCTAGAGATGTCCATGCTTTGAACTATATTTGTGCATACAGAAGGCTCCCTAATTGGTGCGGGTATTGGAATAACTTTACTTCATCCGGTTACTTTATATTTGTCCTTTTAGCTGAGTCCACCACGGATGAACGAGTCCAGCGGCGATCCACCGTAAGGCTAGGCGTTAGACTTATTCATAAGATCTGCCCTGACTCGACGAAGGCGTCCGCACTGGAAACGGCCACCGTGAACAACTCGTTCTCAGTAAGCGACTCCAGTGGCATTGGACCAAAGTCACCTCCAATTGCGGTGGATCCACCGAGCAACAGCAGTAGTAACGCCACCAATCCAACTACCCCGACCAGCTCGGTGAGTAGTGCCACCAATCCTGCTTCCTCTGGTGGTGGTGGTGGTGGTGGTGGCGGCGGCAGCAGTAGCAATAACAGTACCATACCACGTGCGCTGAGGCTGCGGCTTTCGCCAAAGTCTCTCAAGCTATCGACCCTCCATCGGCACAGTAGCAGCGTCGACAGTACCAACGGTGGCATCAGGACATTCGGCGAGCATGGGTTGATTGAACTAACGGACGTGAACAAGGTAAGTTGATCTGAGTGAACAGAAGTCAAGCCATCATACACGTTTTAGCCACATGCGGTGCTCTGTGTACAAACTGGTCGGGTGTGAAACGTTTAGTGAACAGGAACGGGTTGTAGTGGGTGGCCAGTAAGCAAGATTGATGATAGCAATTTCCCGTAGCAAATTTCACTGGAAGGCCTCTCAGTCGCCAATTCTTGTGAGTTATGCGAAGTTTCACCATTTATTGCCGATTCCCAACGTTTTTTTCGATAATTCCCGAGAAATTCAAGTTATTGTTAATAATTTGATTTTGATTGACAATTGTTATATTTTATCACTTAATCTGACTAATATACTCCTCTTTAATAATTATACGAATTTGAAGGTGATTGAGTGGTAAGCGTGACTGCTTTCTCAACCCAGTGAGTCTGGGTTCAATAGGTTTGACATTCTTACGAACTTGAATGCTACATTGTTTGCGACATAGCAACTTGCTATTAGCAAGCAAGCTTATTTTCCGTGAATAGCTCGCCAGATGTCGTTGGTGAGTTCCGTGAGATATTTTAAAGAAATATTTTTTTTTCAATTAATTTATTTGTACAGGCTCAATCGAATAAACTTTACAGAGCCAAGTTATCATTTGCGTTATACATAATTGATGTCTTAAATCTAGATTTAAAGGAACTGAACCGATTACTCGCGGTCATCTCGAGGTTAGTAGAGATTTACAGTTTTATGGATGGGGAGAGGGAGGAGGAGGTTTGAGTTATGATTTACGATACAAATATTTCATTATTCCTAAAACATGAACTTATCCCTATTCAATTTGGTATCCACAGTGTAGTTATACAATTATCACAGAAACAAACATTAAAAAACCCACACGAACAAAACAAAAACTAAACACAAGGTTAGTCAAACTTACAATCTAAGGTTAATATTCTTAAAGAAAACATATATGAGTTTCATAAACTCCAGATCGCGTCTACCCAAAATATCTCGAACTGGAACATTAGATTGTCTACCTCGAGCCCGAAGGGAATCGTACAGTTCAGATCTGACTCCGCGATGCTCAGCACAAGACCAAATAATGTGATCTGCGTCCTGGTAACCTTGTTCACATTCACAGAGATTGCTGTCCCCTAGCCCAACACCGAACAAGTGAGCGTTTAACGAGTAGTGATTGGACATGAGGTGAGACATCATACGAATGAAGTCTCGACCCACATCCAACCCCTTGAACCAATGACTCTTCGACACCTTAGGGATGATCGAATATAGCAATCGTCCCAAACTTCCTTCGCTCCACTTATTCTGCCAGATGACGAGTGACTGTTGACGATAAATGAAGAAAAATTCATCGTAGGCGATTTAACGATCGTAAATATCGCCTTCCATAGCCCACCTTAGTTTAAAGACATATTGTTCAAAGTGTTCTTGTTTATCATCAGGCCGATCTCCTATTCAATTTCCTGGAAGTTTGGAAGCGGTAATCTGTCGTAGTCGTGCTTTTTGATCCATACTATACCACCTTCGTTCTCTGGTATATCGCCATCAAGGTGCTCGTCTGTTTCCACCTCTCGATCACCTCACACTTGTTCGTAGGAAGATGTTCGTCCAGGTCCAGGTAACTTCTCGTAGAACTTTCGTTGCACAACCAGGGTTGCCAATAGTTTTTCAAAAATAACTGGCAAAAAGCACCCCAAAAATCTGGATGACGACAGGATCCTCATAAAAAAATATTATACTGCAAACATGCAAATTCCTGAATATTTCAAGATTATTTTAATTAATTTGTATTTTCCATTTTGCATATACTAAACTGTTAAAAACAAATTACGCAACCGAAAGCCTTAAAATCAAGAAGTTGCACTACTAATTATACTAATTACATTTTCCACTTAGAATTTATCTGATCTATACAAATTGACAAATGTCACATTGACCATTTACTAAAGCCCAAAGAAACCATTGGCAATTTATTTCAAGTTTTAAGTTCTGATTAGGGTTGATGCATATATTATGTCACGCTCTAAGGGTGGAGGGGGGATCTAAGATTTTGTGACAAGCAATGCATTAGGTATAGGGAAAACGTCACGATAGAGGGGGAGGGGGTAATTTTTTGCTCGATTTAGCGTGACATAATTAATGTATGGGCCCGTTTAAGACGGGAAGGGTCACTTATTTGGAAGTGGTTGATTGGGTCTAATAGGTCTTATACTAGTACTAATATTAATTATTAATTGAGTTATTTCGATTTTTCTGGGAGATTTGTTATTTGTTACCTGCTCATGTTGATTTGCGACTCGTATATACCAATAACAACATAAAAGATGCTGTTATTTAAACTCGTATCAACGCAATTATTTTTAGATTCTCTTTGGAGACTATTTTCCTCAATTATTACTAAAAAAAATCGACAGTATTATAAGTAATAGTTTAAAAATTATTTGTGTTCGGACAAAATAGGGTATCTACTGCCTGAAATACTGGGAGTATTCAAGGTATTTTATTTTCCCTGGAAAAATCAGGAAATCTCAGCGAATTTCTTCATTACTTAAGGAATTTTCAAATTCTCTTACATTATTAAGAAAGGAATGCATTTTATAATGTAGACATTTTATTTTCCTCGTTTTATTCTTACACTCATTGAACTTAATAAATCTGTAGCAATTTTTTCTTAAGAACCACATTTATTTTAAATTTTTTAAACTTGAATTGTTCTGGATATAAATGAATAAAGTTTACAGATTTTATACTTAAACATTTTTTAGAATCTTTGGTCTTGGAGAAATGTTCAAGACGTGACCTGATCGAAAACAGTTAAACTGAAATGTGATGCAAAACCACGAAAAGTTCTTGATCCGGATATGGGTCAGCTGAAGCAGGAATTGAGCAGAATTGATGTAAGTTTGGCAGAATTGTCTGATATCGTCAATAATGGGAATAGCATTCCTAATTTGAAGGTGTCTAGAAACGTTTTATCGCCCGCTAGAATTCACAATGAAACTTCTGATGCTTTTTCGGACGACGCAACCAACTTTGAGTTGTTGTTATCGAACATTGTACCAAACATCACAGAGGAATACCTTGTGCAGACATACAAAGTTCACAGTTGTACTACCGTTGTACCAACAATCAATACGAAACTAACGATTTTAAATTGGCTCACTACTTGACTAGCCTATTGGTCCCAAGTAAACGATTAACGTATCCTATTCTAGTCGAAATTCTAGTACTACGATATGTTTGTTTTGATTCGCTATGAAAGTTTGACAGATAAAATGAGGGGTTATTGGTTTTTCCTATGTTTCGAGGGGTGAATCGATTAGCTTGGAACCGAAGAGAGTACCAGAGCTGAGCCAAAAAGTTGAGCACGTTATTTCGGGACCTTCTAGTCTTAGAGTTACCTCTATGGTTGTACTGCTTTAAGCTAGTACCACAAATTGTACAATTTGTGGTTCTAGCTTAAAGCAGTACAACGGTAGTACAACAGTGAACTTTGTCTGTACAAGGTAAAAGATGTGGAAGATCTGATTCGGGATGTATTGAACTCTTCTGAACCTATTTCTGTGAAGCGACTTGTTCCTGCCTGGAGAAATGTTACAACGTTGGATTACGTGAAGCTTCAAAGAAAACACAGTACTAATGCTCTGGACGCTTGTATTTGTCCTACTGCTATAAGTTGTACACACCAAATTTAAATCGCTGAAACTCAGCAGAATTTTGCTGATTTTAGACTTGATAAAAAATCAGCAAACTTTCCAGCAAAATAATGCTGCTGAATTTTTCAGCGATTCCAATTTCTATCAAAATGACAACAGTTTACACTTAATCAGCAAAAATTTCAGCAATATTTTTTTCACTGATTTGTCAGCAATAAGAAATTCGGACAGCTCACAGCATTTGGCTGAATTTATTTTCAATTGGGGCTGGCAGCTTCTGTTAAGGTTCAATTTACTTTGATGCATTTTTTAAAAATTCAAACGCAGTTTTTTTCGACGCATTATTTTAGATTGCAAAAAGCTCGCGTCATTTTGTGTAAAATATCAAAAGGAATCGAATAGTGCGAGCTTTTTGCAATCTGAAATAATGCGTCGGAAAAAACTGCTTTTGAAATTTACCAAAAAGCATTAAAGTAAATTGAACCTTAAAGAGTTTTGATACAAATACACAAATAACGACAAAATCAGCAGGTTATTTTCCATGCATAATTTATTAAAATTTAATATAACCAGTGTTCTTACCAACATAGTTTTATATATTTGTAGTTCTCCTCCTCCTCGGTGCTTTGTACGAATCGTACGAATGCAAATACTTGCGACTGTGACGCTAAGAGATTGACAGCTCTTAACTGGGTGCCCGAGCAAAGTCCAGCATCAACATGACAGCAAATCGAAATCAAGTTTTGATGTCAACATCAAACTGAAATTATAATTTGATTACGCAATTGGTAAATTTGATACCAAATTTTGTTTTAATTTTGTTGTACATTTTTTCTTCAAAAATATGTTGTTGCAGGTTTGTTTTCATTGCCTTAGCATAACATCAGATTGAAAACTTGTTTTGTTATCAACAGGAAAAATGGACATCAAATTGAGTTATCTGTTTGCTCTCACTGATAGCAGAAATAGCTTTCAATGTGATGTCACAGGAAGATTTTTTTACTCTCAATTTTTATATTTTAACCGTTAAAACGACCAAAACGACACCGGCTCCGGTGGTGTAGTGGTAAGCGTGATTACCTATCACCCCAGTAGGCCTAGGTTCAATCCCAGTCGGCGCCGTCGGGATGTTGTGAGGCATAACATCTCTGATCACACTTGTTTCGGAAGGGAAGTAAAACCGTTGGTCCCTGGTTCATGAGTTGATGAGTAGGTAGGTAGGGTCCAGGTGTGGGAGCTGCCTCCCTGGCGTTGGTAGCATTGGTGCTCAGCACGGAAAACAAATCAAGGAAAAAAAAAACGACCAAAACGACAGCAACCTTTGAATAATTATCAAAACATCAAATTTAGTTTTCA